ACCATTAAATCAGGACAGCTTAATTTCTAAAGAAGAGTATGAGGAAATCTTAGAATCTCTAAAAGTTATTCCAGTAAGTATATCTTTCTCTCAGCCCTGGGACAGGGTAGTAGTTTTCCCAAATCATTGTAATACAAAAAAAATAATAATAACTTCAGAAACTCTGTTTTGCAGATACCAACTATACCATATCTTTCTCTCAGCCCTGGGACAGGGTAGTAGTTTTCCCAAATCGTTGTAATACAAAAAAAATAATAATAACTTCAGAAACTCTGTTTTGCAGATACCAACTATACCACATGATCTCATGTGGCTCCAGAAAAGACCGTCTCAACCCTGAGAATGTTTCCCCACATGCCCAAAAATGTGTAAAATCATTTCAACAAGGGCCAAAGCCGTTCATTGTGTAATGAGTGATAAGGTTTATAATGCAAATGTCCTGGAACACTTCAAGTAATGCATTAAAAACGGCTTGCTGTGGTATAACAAACGGGAATCAGGCCTTTCCTGAAAATGATTCCTGGTTTCTGTGCCAGGGCCACGAGGTCTGTCGATCTCTCAGCTCAATTCCCAACTGGTTCATGTCAGACAAGCTGGGCCTGAGCACAGCAGCCAAAGGTAGGAATGGCTGAGAAGCAGCCCAGCCCTGCCAGACGTGTCCTCCAGCTTCACAGTCACAGGGTGGGAGGCCGCGGGGCGTGGAGTTCCGAGTCAGCTTCTGCCCACACATCCAGGGGTCCACAGTTGAGTAGAACAAAAAGTGGCCTCCGCTTTTCATCAGCAGTCTGTGTGAAACTGTTTTCAAAAGACGACCGTAAGGAACACCAAAAGCAGGACTGGTGGTGGTGGAGTCCCGCCTGTCCTGAGCCATCTGCGCATCGGTGCAGACGGACAGAGTGTAGAGGAACCGTGGGAACAGTGCCAGGCCAGGTGACTTCCTCACAGCCTTTCCACATATAAGGCAGCTCCTCGCCTCTTTCCCAGAGCGTTCGGAGGTGTGGGCTGGCCCGTCTCACAAACAATCGCTCTTCCCACAGAGCCACGAGCTTCAGTGCCCAGACACTTTTCTTCTCTGAAGCAATGGTGGTCGTGGTTGACTGTCGGAATTTCACTGATTTGCTGACTTTGCAAATAAATGTTAGCAACTCTGCTGGTTTCCTGTTTTCTCTGGTTTAGTTTCGTTGGTTTGGTTAAGCTGGCCCATGAAATCTAAAATCTACTGCACTAGAGGAAAGAGGAGTTGGTAAGGCCTGTGCAGGGCCGCCAGATAAAATATAGAACATCCAGTTAAATTGGGTTTGGGGGGGCCATAGTATTATTTATTTATTTTAATTTTTAAATATTTCACTGACAAATAAAAATTGCATGTATCCAAGGGGCACAAGGTGGTGATTTGATATGTTTACATCGTATCATGATTGTAACAGTGAAATTAATTAACACATCCATTACTACTTATTTGTGTGTTTGTGTTTGTGTGTGGTGTGTGTGTATGTGTGTGTGGTGTGTGTGGTGTGTGTGTGTGTGGTGTGTGTGGTGTGTGTGTGGTGTGTGTGTATGTATGTGTGGTTTGTGTGTATGTGTGTGTGGTGTGTGTAGTCTGTGTGTGTGGTGTGTGTGTGGTGTGTGGTGTATGTGGTGAGGACACAAAATCTGCTTTCTCGTCAAATTTTGAGCAGACAGTACATTACTGTTACCTGCAGTCGTCATGCTGTGTGTCAGGTTTACAGGACTTACCCATCCTGTAACTGAATGTTTGTACCCTTTGACCAACATCTTCCCTCCCCCTACTTCTCCAGCCCCGGTGACCACCATTCTACTCTCTGCTCCAATGAGCTTAACCCTTTAGATTCCACATATAAGTGAGATCATGTGGTGTTTGTCTTTGAGTCTGACTTACTGTACTTGGCATAAGGTCCCCCAGTTTCATTCCTGCTGTTGCAAATAGCAGGGTTTCCTTCTTTTTTAAGGCTGTGTTACATTCCGTTGTGTGGCTATGCCACATTTTGTTCGTCCACTCGTCCGTTGAGGACGCGGGGTTGCGTCCACGTCTGGGCTGCTGTGAATAGTGCTGCTGCAGACGTGGTGTGCAGCACTCTTCGGGTTCAGTTCTCCGGGGTACAGGCCTCCCTACAGAGTGGCTGGCTACACAGGCCCTTGTCATTCCACATCCCCATCCACAGGGCACAATGGTTCCAGCTTCTCCACTTCCTCACCAACACCTATTTTCTGGTTTTGCTTTGTTTTGCTTTTATGATAGTCATCATAATGGGTATGAAGTAGTCTTTCATTGAGGTTTTTACTTGCATTTTCCTGATGGCTAACGATGTTGTGCGTCTTCTCGTGTGCTTATCGGTCACTTGTGTACCTTCCTTGGAGAGACATAATTCAAGTCCTTTGCCTTAAATCTGAATTTCAGATAAACAATAACTATTTTTTAGTATCTATATACATATATGTTCCATACAACATTGAGAATTTATATATACTAAAAAATTATCTGCTATTTACCCAAAAGTCAGTTTTAACTGGGTGTCCTTCATTTTTATCTGCTAAATCTAGCAGCACCAGCAAGTGAGAACTTTGATGGATCTAAAACAACCTTTAAAAATCTCACGATTTTGCTAAGGTGAGCTCTGAAACAGCTTAGTATATTTGTGGGTGTTTGGCAGCCCTGCTTTATTTAAAAAATTGTAATTTCATTTTTGAGAGGCTCCAGACTAAATCATTTGAGTTTTGCACATTGTGTAACATTATTGGACTCCCTTAATGAAATTATAACTGCAGCAAGATACTTCATTCTCTTGTAGTGGGTTAACCTGGGCTGCGAGGCTTCAGGATAGCAAATCCCCCTCTGGGTGTGTTCTTCTTGTTCTGTAGAGTGGGGAAGTCCAGGCTTTGTATGAGTTATTTATAGTTCTCTTTGTGTGGACATGATGCTGTGGCCATCCCTATGGAAGCCACCGCTGTTAACAGGCTCCTGAATGACTTTCTGTGTGAACTCCCCGGCTCTGGGAGCCCAGGGCCAGGGGCAGGTGAATACACCACGGGTCACACTGGAGCCCACGCCCAGTGTCACGGCTCTGGAGGACAGGGAGCGACCCCCACGCAGCAAAGCAGCCAGCTATACCCGGTGCCCTGGGCCACATTGAGGACAGGGTCCCAGGAGCTCCCCAAGGGGTAAGCAGGTGCCAGGTAGAGCCAGGCCAGGGTCCCCACAGGGCCGTCCCTTCACGCCGTGGTAGTCTCTCAAACAGGAGACTCTCCTTCCTCTCGCCGCATTACCCAGTTTTACTCATCTCGACAGTGCCTCCAACCTGCAATTTCTTTTTTTTTTTTTTTTTTTTTTTTTTTTTTTTTTTT